ATAGCCATTGAATAAAAGTTGGCTACTGATGAACAAGTAAATTAAATTCCATTAATTGGTAAAATGCATTATGCTTTGCAATGATGTATATATTGTATTTTTAAAAATACATAAAGTTGCCAATAGATAGATTAGAATGAATTTACCTGAAATGTTGACAAACATTTTTAGAACGTTTAAAGTCAGGAAAGATGACAAGAGAAAATTGATTTACTAATAATGTATTAAATTAAACCACCTTCATAGAAATATAGTAGTCAATTATAGCCTCGTAGGTAGTGAAATACAATCATGCAAGGCAAGAACATGACAACAAAAATTATTTAACAATAAAAAAGTCACTCTGGGTCTGGGTTGTAGCTCAGTGGTGGAGAGCTTGCCTAGCATGTGAGAGGCACTCGGTCGATTCTCAGCACCATATGCAAATAAGTAAAATAAAGGTCCATCAACAACTAAAAAATAAAAAAAAGAAAGTCACTCTGCCTTACCAACTCTACAGCCACATGGGAAAACCCAATACAGACAGTGAAAAGAAAAATATAAAATAAAAACTGCTATATAAGAAGTAAATGTTTAAAGAATGGTTGCTAAGAATCCAACTCAATTTTTAAATTTTATTTTTCATTTTTTAAAATAGTTTTTTCGTTGTCAGTGCATCTTTGTTTTATTTATTTATTTACATGTGGTAATGAGAATTGAACTCAGTGTTTCATACATGCTAGGCAAGCACTTTACCTCTCAGCTACAACCCAGCCCTCCAACCCTATTTTAATGGGGATTCTCGGAGAACTCTGGAACAGACACTCAGTGGTGTCTACTCCCTTTATATTAATGCAATACAGGTCAATAGAAACAATAAATTTTAAGTTACTTCCTGAGTTTTATAACCAACACATTTGGAAGAGTTATTACCTTTATTCATATTATGTTGAATTTTATTTCTAATCCATCATCTTTAAATGAAGCATATCTATTCTATTTCAAATATTTATATAATAAGCAAGCTTATTTATATGTAGATGTTAGAGTTGTAAACAAATTATCCTGATGGAAAAATAATATGTAAATCCTATGTATCTAATAGTGGATATATTCTTGCATGGTAATTTATTCATTTATTTTTATTCATATGTATATCCATTTATTCCAACACATTTATTAGGCAGCTACAATAGTGTAAACACTTTTACTCCTGACTCTTAGGGAATTTATGTGCAGAGACAAAAGATATTAAAGAGATACAAATTCACTTACACAAAATATACATTGTGAAATGCATCTATGAAAAGAATGCATGTACTTTTTTGCAAGTGACAATGGAAACTTACTTCTCCAAATCATCCATCCTTTGTTTTATATCTTGGCTTTAGGGAGTGCTACCCTGATTAATCTGTCCAACAGAGAAT